ATCAGCGGCTTTGGCTCCGGTTTCCTCCCCGGAAACGATTGGTCTCTCCGTTATTTCCCGGCGTTAGTCGTCAACCGGTATCGGGGTAAAAAAAATTCGAGAAAACGACGGATTGAGTTTTTTCTCCGATAGGGTCTTACGGTCGGACCGAGAATCGGGAAAGATTTAAAGAGGAAGCGCGGACATCGGAAGGCGCGCCAAACCCGTTAGAAAGGAATTTCGGGTTCTTTCGACCGGGGCTCTTGTTAAATTAATAAAACCGGAAGGAAAGTCATCTTCCGAACGAAGGGAAAAGGACACTTTTCTTTCCAGCAGAGATTTTGGCGGGACGGAAAGGTTTGCGCCCACCCCGGGCGACGGAAGAAGCGTCACCGAGCGGGCCGATTCGATCGGCGCCAGAAGTCGGTCGATCGATTTTGTTTACCGGATGCCGACTAAAAGAGGAAAACGTTCGACCCGTTCAAGGACGCCGGCTCCTTCGTTTCCCCAGACGTGGCTTTTCCCATCGATCTCTCGACGTTAGTAACACCTAGTTAGAGGACGTTTCCGGAAGGCATCCCGTGGCCGTATGCCGAGGGACCGAACCCTCCTGGCTTCATGTACCAGAGGGGAAAGAGTCGGGAACGGGAGGAGAACCGATCCCGAATTCGAGTGGAAACTGGACGCCTCTTCTTCCGGATCAAACCGGCCATCGTTTTCGCGGGAAAGAAAATACGGGAGTCAAATAATTAAACCGGAACCGTCCTCTTTTCCCGGAAGATGGCGCCTCGCATTTTTTGCCTTTTCGGGCTCCGTACGAGTTTTCCACGCCTTTAACTCTTCCGAGAGAAGACTTCCGGTGTCTTCTCGGAATTTTCGTATAGGCGCTTTTTTTTTTCTTAATTCCGCCTCCAAAGGCGTTAAAGGTCTTTTTAAATTTACGGCCGGACGCCTCCGCTCGACCTTCGACCTTTCGGGAATTTTCCCCGCTTTGTTCGTCCGACGGGAAGATATTTCCGTACTTACCATTCTAAATTTATAGAAGTTTCGATCCGTTGGACCGCGTCGTTTCCGCGGAGGCGGAGAGGCACTTTTTATTCCCGCTCCGCTTTAAGTTCCGTTATTTATTTTTAATCGGAGACGATTTCTTTCCGGATAAAATAAAAGAGACTATCGTTTTCTGGCGGAGGATTAGAGGAAAATCCTCCGGACGGACGTAAAAAACCGTAAAATCTAATTTAAAATGTTTACCGTTTCCGCAAACTTTCCCACCAATTATTAAAATTTAACGGAGAGGACAATTTTTCTTTCGGTTCTGTTTTTTTTTTTTCTATTTCATAAATATAATTATTGTTAAAATAAGAATATTTTAATTAAAATGTCGTCTGCCGGATAAACAAAGAACGGAGTAGAAAATATTTTCGATTTTAATTTACTTTTATGGGGGTGTGCCGCCAGACGGCGACGGTCGGAACCGAAGACTCACGCGCGGTTCCGTTAACCGCCATTATAAAGGTAATTTGGTAAATTAAAAGACAAACTAACGTTTCTATAAATAAAATCGAACGGTAACGACGAAAAGACGGGCAATCGGTTTATTACGCGCCCGGAATAACCGATTTATACGTTTCCGGACGGCCGTAATTTCGCCCGGACGAAAGCGGGGAAGTTTCTTTTTCCCTTTTATCGCTCGGAATTTTAAATCCCCGATAAATCGGCGCAATCTTAAATTTATTACGACTTTTACGGCCTCTTCCGGCTCCCACCCGTCCCTTCCGGAATCCGGAAAGGCCGAAGGACGACGATTTTCCGCCGCCAAAATCAAACGGGAATTTACGCCGTTCGTCTTTCTCGTTCATCCGGAAGAACGGGGGGCGAGTTTTATTAATTATCCAACCCTCTGTCGTTAGAATTTTTTGCCCGGTGCCTATAGCCTAGAAACTCGCGATACGAGACAAGACGAAGTACGGCCCTAAACCGACGAATTCGGGTCCTCTTGGTACGGATCATGACTCCCCACACATTGGAATTTTAATGTTGTACCGGTCGGCGTCTCGACCGGTAAGTTGTTACGTAATCTGGTAAAAGCGTACGTTTTGCTATCTTCTACACGTGATAAATACGCGGAGGAACCGTGCTTTGATGTTCGTTTTTGTTAGTTACGGCAACGACACTCGGGCCATACGCCTTCCGGGGTCTTTTAAGGGTAACCCACCCCTATTTACCCCCGTATTCACCAACACGAGTTAAACAGAGAGTTGACGAACTCGAGTTTAGATGTAACTCGAAGTCAAATTACGAGTTACTCTTCTTTCGTATTCAGATAAAAATTTAACTCTAGAGTTTCGCTACTCTAGAGTTAAAATTTTAAAACAATCCTGCGTTCGAGATTAAACAAGTCTTCTTTCGTAAGCAGAGTTTTGATTGGTTGAAAGCAAACACGTGTATGAACCAGGGAGGAGACGAATAGAATAGAATAGAAACACGTGTAGAAAATGGCGGAAAGTGAAATGGAAAGCAGTGCACGCCGTAATTTTTCTAATTTTGAGAAGGAAATTCTACTTGAATTAGTCGAAAAATATAAATCGATCATTGAAAACAAGAAAACAAATGCGATTTCTTCCAAACAGAAGAGAGGCACATGGGAAGAACTAACAAAGGAATTCAATGGTATCCCGGGTGTCACCCTTAGAAAAACCAAACAGTTATTGGACTGTTATAAGAATTTAAAAAAGAAAGCCGTGAAAGAACAGGCACAAAAAAAGCCGAATTATTTAAAACAGGAGGAGGAAACCAATTCGTTCTAATAGGTTTCTTACGCTCTCTTTTGGCAAACGATATCGACATAGAAAGTCGTAATCGTCCAATTGTTCGAGGTCATTTCTTCTTGGAAAAATAATCCACCGACTTCTTCGTTCCATACGATCTATATAATCTAAATATTTCAGATTTTCTAGCATCTCGGCTTTGTCTTCGTCGAATGTCGCCATTTTTCTCTGAAATAAACCGCTTTGCGCAGGCGTCAAACCTAGAGTTATCGTCTACTCGCCGATTTTCTAGAGTTAGAGTTAGAGTTAGGGTTATTGTGTTTGACTCGAGATTCGGAGTTGGTGAATACCAATTTACCAGTAACTCGAGAGTTAACCCTAACTCTAACTCTAACTCCTGTTGGTGAATACGGGGGTTAGGGGTTAAACTAAAACCGGTTCGTCACTATAAAACAATTTATTTTTCAAAACAAAATGAACATTCGAATAAAAATTTTACGTAAGCAGAGAGTACGTCTCTAAAAGAAGACAATTTTTCAAAATAAACAATACTTAACAAGATAAAAGAAGTTTAAAATATCAGAAATCCCGAAAATTAGTTATAAAAGACATTAGTAAGAGTAAAGACATAGTTATTTACCTTCGTCACATCTTAAAAGTTGCTGTAACTTACTGGCTAAATATCCATCTACGTAATAAAATACGCGTTCGATACATTGGATTAATTAAGGCGCTAAGTATTAAAACATATTCGCGAACACTTCCCCTTTAAAAAAAGCGATTCGGACTACCCATTCGGAAGTTAGTGGCGCCCTGATGGCCCGGTCTGGTTAGACGTCACCGCGCCGATCGTCGACCACGTTGTTATTCGAATTAGATATCCATGCGCGTGCGGGTAAGATGCTACTTCTATTCGAATTATTTTGCTTTTAAAGAGCAAACGTAATCCTCTCCCTCCTCGGACGTCCAACCCCGTTAAAAACTTCGTCACTTTACGCACGATAGACACCGTAAGTAGAAACGAAACGTACAAGATTTAATGAAATAAACGGACGTCATTTATGAACGGCCCCTTACAAAATAGGAGTAAAACTATAAATTTTTGTAAAATTTCCTTCCCCTCTTTCAAGCTTAATAACTCCCGCACTATTTGTCCAAACTTTGCAGGACGGTTTGTTTATTAGAGGAATCGATGCTATTAAATTTTAGTAGTTAAAGGTCGAGGGGTGGCCGAGTAATGGGGTGGCGGGTATCTCCGGTATGGTCGGATTTAATGACGATTTTACCGGTTATTAGCATTTACAATTTTTAACGAAACTCGTCCTTTTCCCTCAAAATTAAGCTTTTTGCCATTTTATAATAATTAAAAATACGATAACAGACGCTTCATCAAAATTTTAAATGTTATCGGTGGTCGGTTTATTTTACACGGGGTTAAAGCCAATTGACAGGTAGGCGAAATTAACGCCTAAAATTTAATTTGGAAACGTTTTCCTATTTAAATGCCTTCTCGTCCAATTATATTTCTTCTTATTTTAAATATTTTGTATACATTTTACTATATTTCTTTTACTTTTTACCCGATTTTCACCAAGTCGTAGAATTTTTGCCGCATACTTCTTCAAAACGGCGAATCGTTAATATTCCGTGCCAGGCGGGCACCCCTTTCGTAGACGGAAAAAGACTAACTCGGTCGGGTCCTTCCCACCCGTTTTCGTCGTCGACGCAGAAGAATAGACTTAAAAAAAGTTTGGGTGGACGTGAGGTTTTGTAGTTCCCTTTGTAGTACTTGGTCCGGTCGTAGAAAGATCACTCGCCCGACGAAATTATAAGATTACATTTGAAAAAACCGCCCGGTCGACTGGCAAAAAAAAATGGCACGCCGTAATCATTTTCCACTCGAATAATAGTTAAAATATTAAATATTCCCGGAAAATTCTACCTACCGTACTCCAAAAACTAAACACCTGCCGGAAATGAGAAAGCACCGACACGCGCGGAATTTTAATTACTTTTCGGACCGCTAGAGTGCGCCTCCGTTTCCGTACGCGCGACAAAATAGAGAAAACCCAAACCGGTGGGGAAACGGCGGGTCGTTTCCGTTTCTGATTTTACCACCACCTCAAAACGTGCGGTCCGGGTTTCCGGAATACCGGTCTTACCGGCATCTTCTAATTCCCGGAATTTACCGTCAAAACGCGGACGAAGGTAGAAGTTAACCGCGGCGAGAAAGAGGAAGGAGGCGAAAAGGAGTGGACTGCAGTTTCCATTTATTCACAATCTTTACAAAACTTTAAGAATACGGAAGCGGGAAGAGCTTCTTTAGGAAAACAACGGGCACAAAATATTTTTCCATTTTTTTTTTTTAACTAAACGACGAGCCACAAAAATATTCCACCACGGACTATTTACAACGATACATATTTGTGTATATCGTCTTTGTGTATATAATTCCCATTTGGATCCGTCCCGTTTTATATTTATTCGGTAAGTACGACACGCAACGAACTCCTCCGGCTGAGAGGAAATAACGGAATGTCCGGCAGGTCCCGCCTTTTTGCCTTGGGCCGCCGCCCCCCGGGAGTGGGGACGAGGGCGGAAGATAAGTACACTGATAGGAGGAAGGGAAGATGCCGTCCGCGGAAACGGGTGGAGGGACGGAGACTTCAATCCTTCAGCAGCTTGGTGGCTCTCTGGTTGGCCGACATGATCCTGGACTCGTTGGAAGTGGCCTGCCGGCGACAAAACCAAATTAATAAGATCTCGGCCGGGATAACGAGATACTGCCCAAGACTCACCTTTTGGTTGACCCTGTCTAACTGTCGGTTCTGCGATTCGATCTCGCTTCCCATGTCGATGGCCATGTTCCGCAGATTGCCGATCATGGTGTTGACCTGTTGCATGTTGTCCTCCATCTCCTCCTCGCGGTCGTCGTTAGTGATCCTGCCGAGAGACAAAAACGGCCTGAGTCCCCCCGAGACCGGAGCGCGCCCGCATCCCCGTACAATACGTACTTGGCCACGTATCCTCCGGCGGGCCCCGCCCCGTTACGCTCGTCCATCACCCGAGTGGGCTGACTGTTGACGATCTTCCCGTCTTCGCTGGATTTCCACGTGCTGGCGTCTTCCTTAAACTCCTTCCCCCTGCCACCAAACCGGACGTTATCTCCCCGCCAGGAACGGTGCGCACGGCGCGCCGCTACTTACTTTTGACAGGGACACACGCATAGGCCGCAACACTTCTCCATCCCCGTCAGGTTCTTCTCGGCCTCCTTCATGTCGGCATTGATCTTGTCCATGTCCTCCTCGATTCTGTCCAGTTGCTCTGAAAAGACAAGCGCCCGGGTGTCGGCAATTAGGGAAAAGGCCAAAGACGCCACGCGACCGACCGGCAAGCGCGCGATGGGAAAAGAGCGAAAGAAGCCGCCCGAATGTCGGCTTACCCCCTTGTTCGTCCAACATAATCAGCGTTTGGGCTCCCACGTCTTGGCTCTAAATAAAAGGAAAAACAAAAAAGGGTAAAGCGAACCGAACAAACGAAAAGAACGAGCTGCCACGAAACAAAAGAAACCGTCGTCCGGACACCCGACACACTTACCAGACGTAAAAACGTGCGCCGCGCGATGGCGGGAAAAAGCCGTCCACTTACCTCCTTGTTCGTCCAGAGCCACCAAGGTGCGAATTCCGGCGTCCTTGCTCTGAGGCAGCGTCCGGGAGGAAACACGGTTATTACACCCGAATCCATCCAACCGGAAGGTTATACCCTTCTGGTCACAATAAAAAACACCGAAAATTTGTAAACAAAAACCAGACTCACCTCTTCACATAGCTGCAGCATGCGCCGGGTGCTCTCCAGACTCTGGCAAAAGAAAACGATTCCAATTAATTTCCACCTCTCTTTCGGCGCCCGCCGCCTCTCTCCGCCGTTAATTCGGGAATCGGACTCTCTTCCCTTCGCCCGTTCCCGGAAAAATTCCATTATCCGTAAGAGCCGGCTGTGGTTCCGAAAAATCCCGTCTGGGGAATTTACGAAGAGAGGACGTCCTCCTCGCGCCCGGCGCGCGACGAGAAACATTTTCCTACCTGACCGGTGGCGTCGCTTATCCTGGTCCTCAGGCCCGCCGGAGAGTCCGGGTCCGGGTCCGAAACGGACGAAGGGGTGGGCGAGGGAGGACCGACCACCATGTTGCGCCTGTAGGGTCGCACCGGCCACCGAACGTCGGACGCGGGCCGAGAGGTCCGTTCCGCCGTCCGTCGGGGCGGTCGGAGTTATATCGTCCGGGACCGACCCGGGCGAGGTAGAGGGCGCGCGTCGACGGTTACGTCACCGGTCCACCCGCCGCTGCTTTCCCCCCTGAAGCGCCAGGTTCCTCTCACGGCCGGAGAGAGTCGCCACTTTCGCGCCGCTTCCGGAAGAGCGGCCGAGAGACGCGACCTCCGACGCTTCCGTCTCCGGTGTCGCCGTCTGGTGGCGAGAAGAGGAGGGACGGGTGGCGGCGCGAGAGCGTCTCCGGCGCGGGCTCCAGCTCGCCTCAGGTAGGTGATTTTTAGTACTCGATTCGGAAACTCTCGAACGGATCTTCCACCTGCAGTCCGGAAGGGGGATTTCGGACGTCTCCGGCCGACTCCGGGGAGGGACGAGTTTCCCCGTAGGCAGGGGAGAGCGACGGCGCGGCGATCAGATTTGGTCAGTGGGCGACGTCTCGGCCGGCGTCCTTTCCCGTCCACGGCGGCAATTCCGCAGCGCGCGGCGTCGACCGCTCGCACCATCGATCGGAGGCGATTTCTCCCGGCGACCTTCAAATGCCGGGAGCCGAGCGAGTGTACTGTACGAAAGGAACGCCGCGGTGGATTTCTTTCCCGTCTCCACTTCGCGGGAATCGAAAAGAAAGGAATTCCGGAAGCGTATTATCCGGGCGTACGTTTTATTTCCGGTTAGAAGAGCGCCAAGCGCGGAGGGTGCGAAACCATCTTCTCCGCCTCACCCGAAAGGGAAGCTTAAATCGAATTTTTAAAGATAGCGAAGCGGTCTAGTCCGGCACCACCCGGTACCCCGGGTGAGAGGGACGTTCGGGGGACCGTTGGCGATAAAATGTTGGATCGAAACGAAAACCATTAAACTCAATTAATTTATTAGAGAAATTATTTTGTAAATTTGGCAAAAAAAAAAATCTTGAACATTTAAAAAGCAAATGGAGTAAATATTAATTACAATTGTCATTAAGGGTAAAACTGACTTTTTTCTCCGCGCACCGTGGAAACCATATAGAATACGGTTAAACTTGCGGCGATCGATTGTTATAAAATTACATTTGGTATTAAGTCGCGCCGTTGAACGACCGAAACGTTTAATTAGGTGAGAAATACGCAACGATTGTTTAAAACTGCGTTTCGTGATCTTAGAAGAGCGGTGGCCGGGCCAACCACCGAAGTACGTTAAGTCGGAAAGACGGGGCCTCCATTTAAGGAAGGAACGAGTGGAAAACTGGGGAAGCACCGGGCGTCGTCCGTCCCTAATTCGCCCACCCTGGCCGAAAATTTAAAACCGTTTTTAGCGGCTACCGAATTTCTCGTTCCGGTCGCAGCCCGACGGAGGCGGGGATCCGAACCCGTTGGGGAGTGGACAAAAGAGAAATTCTCGTTTCGAAAACAACACCGGGGTATTTGCCGGTTTCCTTTAATTAATAAAAGAGAAGAGTTTTAAGAAACTTTGAAACCACTCCACCTTCTCCGAATTAATCGGGTCCGTCGGGTTTACGTACTTGACTAACCGATTCGACCGAACATTCGCGGCCAATCGAACGAAATCCTTCCTTTCCAACAAAGTTAATTCCTTTGTAAATTCGATTTCTATTTTTCGTTGATGTAAAATTTCTCCGGCTATTTTGGATGCGCCTTTCTTCGTACTTACACAATTATTACTAACGTTATGGCTCTTTAAAGAGATGCGCCGACTTATTTTTGTCTTTTGGATAATTTAACGGACAAAGTAATGTTCTTAATTTATTTACGTCCGATTTTAAGTGAAAATCGGCATATTTCATTTCGATCTTATAAGACGGGGACGGACGAACGTCGGTAGAATTTACTTATTTCATTTTTCCTCTCATTTAAACCGGTATTTGGACGTGGTTTTTTTTTGTAAAATTATTTCCTTAATAACCGTTCGATTCGTTTTTTTTATTTTTCCAAGTAACTTAAAAGGTAATTATCACGTCGGCTTCCACACGTTCGGACACGGTTCTTAACAACTTGTTTTTGACAGTTTGCGCCATTCGAAAAACAAACGTTTCGGTTTTTCTTCCCATCTCCGTCCGTCGCACAAACAATAGAATTTTTAACTTAAGCTGGCAAAAGCTTAGGATTTAAACATAAAACTGACGTCCGGGAAAGACTTATCGTAAGACGATAAAAATGTACTGTACAGTACGTCTAACCGGTTCTGTCCGAGAATTGCAAATTCTTACATCTCATTCGTAAACAATAAGAACTTTTGAAAATATAAAAAAATTGTCCGAAATAACAAGGCATTTTCAATTTGATTTCCAATATATAATTATTTATTCTGTAAATAACGTACCGAGTTCCGCGTGTGAAATTCGGAATATTAATTCAATTTTTTAAATGGTTTAGATTCAATCATACGATTTTGTTTCGATAAATTGCATTTCTTTCATTTTTCCCGGAGGAAAAATAAAACCTCCCGTAACGAATTTAAAGCCGACAACTTGAAAGAATAATAAAAATACTTAATGGTTGTATTTCAAATTGTAGTCGAAAATGCTAACGACCGGTATAGTTTTTTTTTTAAAAACAAATCATTAAATATTTAACAATTTATGCCTTATTCGCGGCCTTTTAATTCCAAGTTATTTTCTACGAATATACAACAGATTTTAGCATTTCTGAAGAAATCAAATTAGTAAACCTATGAATTCGCGCTGTCGTCCGTCCTTCCTTATTCTCCGAAACGGAGTTAGATAAATAAAATTCGAGATCAGATACGGAAATCTTAGGGGTAGGAGGCCCCAATTAACTGTATACGAACTTCCCACGCAAACCGGAAGTCTCGTTATTTCGATTCAAAAATCCCCCCCCGAAAGATGGCCGGCACGACTATTGTTAAAGGAAATTGTGACCGTATTGCATTGTGACCGTATCGCAATAAATAATTGCTCCTTTCTCTCTAAAAGCTCTTTTAATATTTATTTTATTTCTCGTAAAACAGTTAAATCTTTTCTGTATCGGACACAAAAACGTTGTTGTTTTTTTTTGTTTTCGATATTTTGCAAATTTAGTTTAATATATTTTTATACGAGAGATAATCTCGTATACGTTCCTCCAAAATAAATTGTAATCGGAATATTGCGGTCGTTCTTTTATATACAGTACACACAGTTATCGTCATCTCCTATTATAGCCTAATTATTCATTAATTTTAATACCTCATCCGACAACGACTTCGCCGTGTCAAATTACCGTACTTAATCATTTATCAAAAGTATTTAAAAGACGTCTCTTAGTTAGAAACAAAATGGCAAATCGCACCAACACAATTTATAAAGGTAGTATGCTGTAGGATCAGTTAAAATATAAGATGCAACAGTAAGGTGTGGATTTATAAAGCGTTTAAAAATCGCAACATTATGCGTAAAAATTCCAGATGGACGTTAAAATGCCCGAAATATGTACTACGCACGTTAAAAGTCACGATAATATACACAAAAAATGTTAGGTGGAAATGCATACTTCCTTTACTTCCGCCTGCCAGCAAAACTAACGTTTGAGGATGACTGGGTTATCCTCGTTCTATAGCTACACCACTAGTTTACAGTTGTATTATCGGTGCTCTGTTAAGGAAGTTCCGCTAACGTGAAACGTCATCTATGGGAAAACCGACAGTACCGTCCCGTAGCCCCTCGACACGGTACAAATTTAGTCGGACATTTTGTTTTTTTCGTAGGAAGCAATTTCTCCAGATATTCCGCATATTGATTAAAGTGGGGGGGACCCTGTAAACGGAGTAATTGGAATGCCAAAAATATACACCATAAATTAAGAAAATTAATAATAGGTTTAAAAATGAAAACAATTTTCTTTAATGAATTTAATATTTTTAGAATGTAAATGGAGAAAACAATTGCCACATTTTATGGAACTCGCAAAACGTAAACTAGTAAATATCTGATTGGAACATTCCTTTTATCCGTATCAATTAACCCGTAAGTATTTGATCGATCTAGTTAATAATGATATTATCTAACCAACCTCCAACGTAAAAAAATTTATATAAATTCTTCAATAAATTCTCTAAAAAGTATAAACTATCTCGCAGAATAATAACATTTGTCCGGGAGAATACAATATACTGTATGTTAAGTTAAAGTAGGAAAGATATCTGTGATTTTAGAAGTATACGGCGAGTCTAATGTTCTGTCGCCATTTTTAATTATAACACGGGTCGTGTAATTAACGGGCATCTTCGACATGTGTGTAAGATTACTTATCATTCGTTCTTTTATTATAAAAGCGGTGTTTTTATTCCCAAACTAATTAAAATAACTCGTTAGTTTCCACTATAGACTAATGCAAAAGATTTAAACCTGTACATACGAAAACATTGCTGAACTTAATAAAAAATTTTGACTTCTATATTTCAAATTATGGTTTCGTTTGTGAATGTTTCATTTAAATTAATTAAAGTACGATTATAAAATACCGTTTATAAGATACACCTTGCTTAAAACATACATTTTCTATTCTCCACGGAGTTTCTATACACTTTTATCTTGGATAAAGCATAAATTTTGCTTACGAAGTACTAAAATTTTTCTCCTACATTAGAAGAAGTTTGGATATAAAACACGGGGTGGTCGTAAAGTAATTTGACCAAATAGCGGCGATTTCGGGAGCACAAACTTTTGCGGGGTAAGTACGGGGTGACACGCGCTCGCAATATACGAAAATTTCCAATACAAACACCGGGAATTCGCCACGTCACCAGATTCTGCGTGAAGGGAAACGGCGTAAGGCGTTGGCACCGGGAATTTGTTGCGTTTATTTCTTTCACTAAAACTAAAATGCTTTATAACATTTATTACAAATGTAGCATATACACAGCACATAGTGCTTATCTGTGAAATATTAAAAATTTTAATAGTAAGCTTCGGTTACGATGTTGCACCCGTCATCCGCGGACGTGTACGGGTCTTTGCCGAGGTATTGGCTCGTCCTCTTCCTATTATTGTTTTTCGTTCTACATGCACCGGAAATTTGGATTATGGAAATTTTCGAGCTTCGGTCACGTTATTTTATGACCAGCCTGTACTTATATCGAAGGGACGTGACCATGCCGAAATTCTGTTTCTTTCATCCAATTTTTACAAAAAAAATTTAGTCGGGCTTATTTTACTATTTTACACCTGACTTGAAGTTATTTAATAATATTTTAAACTTTAAGAGAATGTTATTTATATAAAATGATTTGGAATCAAATAGACTGACGTGGTAACGACTTTACATTTAGCTCCATTTTTTTTTGTTTGTTTCAATGAAACTTCTATCTTGTCCGATCTGCCGAATAACACTACTTGTTCCGCACATTTTTGATTGTTTTACTTGCAACAGAAAAATTGCAAAATCCTATCGATTATTGATAACCGGTCTGCACATATTGAGATGGAATTGTTAAAATATTAAAATAGGTTTTTGGCCACCAAACTGCATGGATTCAACCGATGGATTCGGGAATTAAACAATTTCAAAGTTCTCTACTGTTGTCATCTGCCACAGCAAATAGTCGCAGAAATAGAGAAATCGCGGGTTGATTTGACCAAACCAAATTTTTAGATGACGTTATTGACTGTAAGCAGATAACTAAAGAAATGATCCAATACTGCCGTTTGAAAGTCATAACAACGTTAAAAGAAGTAAATGTCGCATCTCTGAATTAATTACATCTAACGCCAGTCTTGAAAAATTACGCGAACCGGTCAAAAATCATTTTAATTTGCAGGCAATGCCGAGTTTTTTTTCCTGACGATACTCTTGTCAGTAGTACTAACAATTAACAATTATTTTTTCTTAACAGACAACAGTTGTCACGATAACAACGATGCAGCAAAAGCTGGTGTTGGGATTTAAGAACGTCGGAGGCATTTATTATGCCGAACAGTCCGAAACATATTTTATGAACGTTGGAGAAACCAAACAGTTATCTCTCGGTACCGAGGTGAGCTCTCGACGATCTGTGTGGCCAAGACAAACACAAAAAAGTAAGGAGTTTTAAAGCTTAATTCAGAAAATATAGTGTGGAACAAGAAAAAATATATTACAGATACAGTTTTTTTCTTTCGACCTATCTTCTTTCAATTGAAACCGATATTTCCTAGATCATAAAACTCAGTAAGTTCAAAGTCTTCGGTGAGTACAATTGATTTCAAGTTACGGTACGTGTAAATTTTAACTCTGGAAATCTAAATTATAGAGCGTGCGTATTTGTTCCTTTAGATGTGCATAAGTTTTCACCTAATCAATACCAATGAATGTGTTCAAACGATGAGAAACACGAGGTTTTATAAATGCACTTTGTAACAAGGGAGTTGGAAAAGAAATCCAAGATTGAAAAGTAGAATACGTTTTAGCAAGACTCGTGCTATTAAAGAATCTTTACGACTGAAGTTGAAACATATAGATAACAAACTTATGTAATTTGATAAATTCATTTTCAAAAAAATTCAATTCCCGCGAGACAGAACAGCATTTTGGATGCGTTGGACCCGATACAAATTTAAGTACGGATCAAATTTGACTGCAGAAAATTTATCCAAGGTTTAGAATTTTGTAATCGTTTTTAACTACTCGATCGAATATTCGTAGTTATTAGATTTAATAGTTAAAACAGCCTACGAGTAAATGCCGTCGACTGTAGTGATAAAACTTCCCTCCTCAATTACTGTTAATAATTGTTTAATTAAATAGTAATTTGTCTATAACAACGTAATTGAAAGGATTATCTACATTTACAATAAAAGACAACAAAATGTCTACCTAACTTGTAAATACTGTATTACATGTTTACAGTAAAAGTGTATGTAAAATTAAATCCTCGACTGTAAACAGTTTCGAAAAAAAGGAACCAATTTTAGGTTATATTGCGATACAAAGATCCCCGGGGAATAGGTAGTAAAGCGATAACATACACTATGTCTACGAGTGTACCCCATGGCTGTCCTGGGTTCAAATGATAATTTCTTAAAGGCTTTTTTTTATTTTACTTTTGCAAGAAAGGAGAGTTATATTCAGTACTAAATTATTTTCACAAAACAGCAAAATATTTTGTTAATACAGTCAATCTGTACAAATCTAAAAAATCAAACTAATCATCGGCACATAATAGTCCAGATTTAGCCCCCACCCCTTGGACTTCTATTTATTCGGACCTTTTAATGCTTTTAAGTGAACTGTAATAATGCTTTTAAGTGAACTGTAATAAAGATGAATTTGCCAAATGGTAGATACCACAATAAACTCCCGTGTACTTCATTTTATATATTCAGTTATCATTACCACGAACATTGCTACGGAAAGATACCATTTATCTTACTATGTTATTGATAAACAATAATAAATATCGACACAATTAGTGTTATATTTACTAATATTAAATATATACGCTTACTGATACAATAATATACAACAAAATAACACTGTAGGATACATAGTTTCTTTCAATAGCTATGTTAATTGTTAATGACAATAAATGAATGAATATATATATATAAGTAAAATTATAAAAAAATAAAAATAATAATTAATAATAAAACTCCTTAAACTGAAGTTCGAACCCAGAATACAAACTTGCAATGGGAGGAGTGAGTGTATGCCACTCACTCCTCCCAGCATCTTTACATCAGAGCGTGTTAATTAACATAATATATGTTAACTTTTTCTCAAAACTGTTTATAATGGAGGATTTCTGACTATTAAAAGTTTGTATGAAATTAAATTTATTTCTATTTTAAACACGACATATAAGAGAAGTCGGGTATTCATTTCATTGCCTTTCCTTGTAAGATTTTTCCATTACATATTCGGTCAGCATCTGTTTTAAGTAAAATTTGAATATCTATCTATCTTTTCTGAAGGATGGTTCGAGTGATGAATGATAACAGAAATAACTGAAGTTTTAGAATAATATATATGGAAAACAGATCTAGATCTCAAGTTTTAATCTTTCAAATAATTCTACTTTGATAGATATTTTAAGATGTTTATTTCTTGTATTGTCATGAATTACATTATTTATTCCATCAAATTGTTCTGGTAGGTCTTTCTCCTTTTATTCATTATAAGATAAGAATATGGAGGTAAGTGCTAGACGTGAATCTAGAATCTCATCTTGTTTGTAATAACGATCAGAGAGAAATGAATTTTAAATAAACATTCAATAAAAATTATTTTTTTTAATTATTTTTTGATAAATTTTATTTCTATATTATCTAAGATACATTAATAGTAATCGAATTAATAACTGAAAAAAATAATTGAATTGTTATTAGGAACATTACATCTTTAAAAAATGTTTTTTAATCTCACTATTACGTGATTCTAGCATAAATTTAATAGAAAACATTAGAAAAACTGATTTTCTAAAGTAACAATTTTTTCGTATTCGATCACAAGACGTGGGATTTCCAATATTTGTTTTGGCCGCACTAAAATAACTAGTGTTTTGAAATACACAGAGTCTAAGAAACAAGCTAAATAGCATCCTTTTCAAAAGAGAAATATCTTTTTCATATAAAAAAAACCCTGTTTAATGTGCTTTCAATAGAAAAGGATAAGAAAGACTATTTCATAGTACCTATAATTTTATCCATCGTGATTCTGTTCTATGTAGTATGCCTATACATACATGATAAAATAGAATTTATTCAACTATTTACATTCATTACGTACGTTATACAGCTTACCATCTGAATAAACAGCAGCCTCTCCTGAGTACATTCAAGTTATTGCTATCAAATTTCGATAGTTTAGAAGTTAAAAATTTATCTCTTCAAGAATATTTTTTAGCATACATCCAAAGCCAGAAATTTATCGGATAGAAATCTAATAATTTTTCTGATTCAAGTTACAGGGAGAAAAAATCATCACCATCCACAGTTTGGATTTCCTTATTTCTATAGTAAATATATTATACAGTACTTTGTTACACGAATGAGTATGTATTGTAATCTATCTGTTCAATGTACTGTACATTAGTCACATTGAACATTTTGCTGAATGGTATTTCACGGGCTGTTTAAAGCAAAAAACACCATCATAGATTCTTTATATAAAGCAAGAGAGAGAAAAATACCTATCTATTCAGAATCGGCATTTTTTACTCTATTGTTCTCTAACTTGAGTCGTTTGTTCATTGAAGTTTTCCTGCCCCTTGGAGCTTGGAGTTAGAGAAGTTGTTATTGAGATTAGATAAAATATTTTGTAAAATATGGATGAAAGTTTTTATTGTCATAATTTACTTCCCCTATTTTCATTTTGTCATTTTCTAACACAAACAGTTCCTAAATATCAGAAAATTTTTTACCATTGAAATATACCACCCTCGCAATGCTGAGTGAAAACTTTTAAAAAATTTTTGTACATATCAATTAATTTATCAGGTAATTAATGAAAGTAAAAATATAAAGCGGATAACTAGCTAATCACTGCATTAAAGTAACTTTTCTAACCTCCATAACTTTAGAAAGGATTAATTCTTCTAATTTGAAAGTGTAGATTCCTATGTGAAAGAAAAAAAAATCACACCCTATAAAAAAAATACTAACATTTTAGAAAATCATACTAAGATGAGTAGAAGTAGAGTCTAATACTGGCTTTTCTAAAAAATTCACCAGTTAACTAGGGTACACTATTAGAAGTAATGTGAAAAAGTTCAAAAAGTATGAAACAGAAATTTTGCAAACTTTGGACGCCCAAGGAAATTAGTAGTTCACGAGGACAGAAGAATGCTGTAAGAAGCAAAGAAAGTTCCATTTTTATCAACTCCAAAACTGAATTAATATTTTACAAACAGTTCAACAAGTGATCATGCTAAAAAAAAGCCACTTCTTTCTAAAGTGCATATGAAGAAACATATTTCATGGGCCAAATACCAAAACTTCATCGTGAATGACTAGACACAAGTTGTGGTCAGACGGAATTGTCAGGAGCTTCGAAGCATATAGTAGCAGATTTGAAAAGAAAAATGAAAAACATTCCAAAGCTGTTAAACATGAAGGTGGGTACCATAACTATTTGGGTCTTGAAGAGGTGTAAAATATCTTGAATTAATCAATATAATCATAAACTCTATCACGATGGAGAACCATATTTCTCCATCAGTTTTGAAAAGAAGTATGTTTATCATCAAGACAGAGATCCCAAGTACATAGCTACGATTATTACATCCTGGTTCCGAAAAGATCAAAACACTACACTGGCCTACATAATCTGCAGACTTAACTCCAATTGAGCACTTCTGCTGCTCAATATTAAGGGCAAAAATTGTTAACCTCTCTCAATTTGCACGTAAATGTTTAAAGTATTGTTTCAATTAAAAGATTTTCAAGGTTTTTCATAAAACATTGCAAGGGTGGGAAATGTTTTTTGACATACTGTAAGAGGGTGCATTTTTAACTCCAGTAGGTTACAGCAGCATTCCAGTAGAATTTGATTTCCATCTTTGATGCAGTAGCTAATAAAATTCGTTAAAAATTGTGCAGGTAGCAGAGCATTGTAATACGGATAGCTACTAAAAAAATTATGATGGATTACTATTTACTGTGCGCATTTATTCAAGGATTAAAATGTATTTTATCGATTTTATCAAATATGGAGCATTAATTGACATCTATTAGTTAATGAATAAATGAGTATTTTGAAGCCAGCTGAACATTTAATAAAAATATAAACAAACTGATATTCATCAGTTACTTTCAAAAAGAAGTACTGCTTCTTCCAAAGTTCAGTACAAGTTAAGGCTTTAAAAATTAAATCATGATTAATTAGTAAATTATTTCTTCCAAAGTGTCAGATTATTTATTCATTTTGATCTTTTTTTTTATAGATAAATGTCAATTATAAATTTCTCATGTTCGTTGCCTTCAATTAAGAAAAGCAAACAGGAGCATTGTGACACAAGTGAATTTTGTATTTGATTAATGCCAACATCAGTTAATAATTCATACTGAATAATATAGTGGAAGTTTTTGTCAAATTCCTCCGGACATTTCCGCCATCTTCATTCAGTAATGTTTGCACTAGATGTTTTATGGATCATTAAAATAAATATAAAAAATACACATTCAATTAACATTGTATGCACATTATTATTAAAACAATGCACAATAAGTTGCCAGACATTCTAGTCTATTCAAGACTAAAAAACAATGACTTATTTTTATATTATTTAACTCTATATTGTAAGCACAATATTGACAAACCTTCCACATGTAACAAAATAGAGTAATTTTCATACAGCCGAAATTACTGACTGGATCAGTGATTCTCAACCTTTATGGATCTATGGTATACTTAAACAATTGTGAGAAAATTACAGCACACTTTATTAAGTATCATTGGCCAGACAACAGGTAGTCACAGCTTTAATACTTTTTTATCTTTACTAGTACAGTATAAACTTCTGAAATATAGTTGATAGCAGATAAGTACAGTCGAACTTCTATATAGCGAATTTCTCCGTATAACGAATTCTTGCACCGTACAGTGCTCTTTAAGCCAAAAATATATGTAAAACTGCTTATAAATAAAAAAGTTAGATTTCTATATAACAATTTTTTTTTTATTTGTAAGGACCATTAAAAGTCGATTACTTCCTCTGGGGCGAGTTTGATACCTGAAATTGAATCTGTAAACCCTTTGTAAAACCGCGGCCCAGGTGTGAGAAATATTGGTCGTTGGCTATTAAAACCATCATGTAACCTGCCCCTCTCGTGTCTACCGGTTGTAAAGGTTTTGTTTGTTTGTTTAGTTATGGCAACGTAACACGTGGGCGATCTGCCTAGGGGGATGCCTTCCGGGAGGTCTTTTTAAGGGAAACTGGCCCCTATTTAGGCGTTACAGACATGGAGGAAACCCGGAAAACTCCACGTGGCCGGCGCGAACCCGTGACAGAACTCCCAGTACAAAGGGTACAAACACCACATGGCCACTAGTGGGCCTTGTAAAGGAGGAGGAGAGGGATTAGGTCCAAATGTCATCGTTGACAGATAAACGATTTATAATTAACCAATGTCAAAAACATTAGAAAAGTGATAATGTTTACAACTGCTAGACTAATTTTTGAGATTAGTGCGATTTTATTTTATTTAATAAGTCGCCTAATTGGAATTTGAATAACTGTTAATATAGGGTTTAAGCATTACTAAAAAAAACTGTGTTGCGAGAAGTCGATAATGGCTCAAAAGAGTGACACTGTAGCAAAGTTTGGGAATCCTGCGAATAGTTTATCAATCATAACAACAAATTGCGAAACAATTTTGAAATTAGCCGATGATGCGAGATCTACAGGGAAACGTGATAAAACATGGGTTTACGTCCACGTAGATGAAACAGTTTTAATGCTCTTGATAAGCGTGAAGCATTACATTACGTATTACTGTATATTACGTTTATATTAAATTACGTAAAATAACGAAAAAATTACGTTAAAATAATACTTTATTTACTAAAAAGTGTAATTTCTGTATAACAAAATTTCCTTATACGGATTTTTTTCAGCATTAAGCGACTTTAAAATTTATCACTAACCATTTTATCCAACTCACAGAGTGGCTTTGCAGCCCACCGGTTGGGAACCCCCGATTTAAATGAAGTTTTATTACATTTTCCAAACAGAAAAATGCTTAATCTAAACAAAATCTATTTTACTTTATTTTTTGTTCTCTCAAACAATAGATACTAAAACTACACTAACAAGACGTAAATATTACATAGGAAGAAAATATAACTCCTTGGGATAAGAAAACTATTAGGTATATTTTATAAAATGCAATGCAATTCTGAATCAAAATTAAATCCAAAGTTTCAATACCTTTAATTAATTGCTTATACTGTACTTTTCTAAATAAAATGTTTTGAATACAATTTTATCTATTCATATTTAAAAAAATCCATCTATTCAATCTAACTTGATTTATTCGTTCAATTCATCGCGTAACCACCAGATGGCAGCACAACATTAATTATTAACTAACTCGATATTAATACAGTACAGTACTAATAAGTTATTTTATTTGAAACGTTTTGTTTAGACGATTAATCCAATTTACATTCACCCATAAGTAATTTGAATAAGGTCTTACTTCAACAAATAAATAGTAGAATAAATGAAACACCATCATAAATAAAAAAATTACACAAACAATATCTTTCTGGACTTTGTAAAATCTTCCAAATAATAGCGAGGTTGCGGCCGAAGTTTTCATCTTTAAAACGTGAACGTCGAACGTCGAGCGCCGCTTACAATATAGCGGCGTTCGACGTTCACGTTTAAGAGATGAAAACTTCGGCCGTAACTTCGCTAATAAACGTCTATACTTGTATATATATATATAATATACTTTTTGGTTTTGATAGCATCAAAACCATCCATCTATAATAAATAAGCAGATTTCCTTTAAGAAACAAATTACATTTTAAATTAATAAAAAAAGTAATTAGTATTTCCTAATAAAATTGAAATATTCAGGCAATATTGTTTTCTCTATCTCAACTTATTTCGAAATTATCTAAAGGCATTTTTGTTATTTCTCCAAACTATTTCAATTCCTTCCGACTTCTTACTTTTTCATTCTTTGTCTATTTATTCCTAATATTTCGTTATAATCTCCGACTTCGTTTTACCAAATTTAAATCGAACTCTTTCAAAATATACTTTAAACAATATATTGACAACTCATAACTGAACTTCTGGAAAAGTACATCTGTAAAATATGATATCCGAGGTTTATCTATTATGTAATTAGTATAGGCTAAATTTGGTAATCTAATATACATCTTAAATATGATACACGATAATGATGACAATATGTGTAATTTGGTACGACACACAAAATGTATTGCGAATTCCATTAAAAAAACACTGGTGAAACCGGGTTGAAGAAGTGAAACTTCGCAAAAACATCCGAGGAAAGGAAACTTTTGAAAGTTGTGGCTTAAGAATACCGGAAGCAGATTTGACGGTAAGACTCGAGATGGGAATAGTGCACATTTCACAGACTACAATTACGGAAAGTTCCGGGCGAAGCATCGCCACGAAAAAAAGCTTCGAGCTTTACTTCGTGCCTTAAAGTCGTTGCACGTACAGTACATTAATTTGGCCGAACGTTAGAACATCTTTGAGTGATATCGGTGAAGGAAGTTTGAGGCACAGAGTAAATAAAACCGAAAGCCATTTACCGCGATGATGTTTATTTTTCAAAGTGCCAACGTCTTTGTCTTTCGTGGAAGTTCCAGAGGAGAAATTCAATGCAGATTTATGAAATTTCTTTTGTTTTGAACCTACGTCACAGAAAAAACTTCATATTTTTCTCAGAGGAAACAGCAATTTCTCACTATGTTTACAAAAGTAAAAAAACTCATACTATCTGTGTCCAGGCTTAATTTCGAAATCATCCGAATTTGAAAGTGCTAAAAGAGGGACAAAGCATTTTCCTCATTTAATTATTTTGACAATAATTTAAAATTTATACTTTTAAATTTTATTTTAAGTTGTAATTTTTAAAGGAATGATTCATATCAAAAATGAAACAGACATTGTTAGTCGTATAAAAATGTATCATTTTCAAATAATAAATCCAAAATAATCTACTCATTGTTCTCCACTCCATAGATGAAACAATTAGTACTTGACAAACGAAAGGAATAAATTAATCGTTAAAATAAAAAAATAAACAGTTATAAAACAGGAATAATAAGATAAAAATAATTTCAAAAATATAAATATCACTTGTTATTTAATCAAATAATCTTCAATTAATTTTTTGGTAGGTATAAATACTATCTGACAATTCGTCTCCATTTACTCAATGATTTTTATGTTCGTTGCAATTGCCGATTCCATTGCCAATATAATTATTCTTTATATCTTTTTTAATAAGTATAATTAACTAATGCAAAATAACACAAATTACTTAATAGTTCAATTAATTTAATTTTATTTATAATTAATATTAATTAGCCGTTTAATTGTAGAATTAATGTGACGTATAAAAACATTTCCGGGACGTTTCGGATTTAAAAGAAATATATATATAAACACCGAGATTAAACGCATCTAGGTTATCACGAATTAAATATTCTTAATGCTCATTCTTAAATTTCTTCTTCCAAACTACAAGTTTATAAATGGAAATATAGAAATAAATTTCTCATTTATGTTAAAAACTTTGGCTTACTAAGACAAAAGTAATTGCGTTAATTACTTATTATTCGAACGCATATTCCCGATGCCAACCGAAAAAGTTTACGAAGCTTCGTTACATCCACTGACGTCGAAAAATAACGCAAATTCATTTATCCTAAGTACAGGTTTTATAATTGTTTTACCGAAGATGTAAAATTTTTTTTTTATCCTCGGTGGACACCGTTTTCTCTCTTCTTACCAACGTAGATCCCGCCTAACTGGATTTACTACGGTAGAAAAATATCAAAAAAGCCAAAGATTGAATGTTTTCGCTATTGAGGATATTATAAGATTCGATTATAAGAGGAAAAAGCCGTTGTAGCTCACACGCATTTCGATTATCTAAATTGTAATATAAGGGGAATGACGAAAGTATCCGGAACGACCGTCGGAAAACTCTCCGTTTAGTTTTAACGGCAGTGGCCGAATGGAACCTTTTTTTTCCACCCCCTTTACTACGCGCGATATATTATCAAATAAAAACTTTATCACGGCCGACTCGACCCGATAAAAGCGGAGAAAACCGGCATCCAATTTCGTATTTTGAGACACGACCGTCACAGAAGAGGCGAGAACACCCAACGGATATCGTCGTCCGCAAAGAGACGAATTCTCGGGCCTCCGACAGCCAGAGGGTACGTTTTCTCCGCCACGTCACCGTCGTCGGACGCGCTTCCGCGGCGCGAAGAGGAAAATCTTTCGACGAATTCTAAAGAAAGGAGGGAGGAAATTTTTCTTACCTCGTCCGTCAAGACGTCGGCTTTTCTGTGCAGTTCCTCCAGTTCGCTGCGATCATCCATGATGATCGTGTGGATATTCTGCCAAAGAAAAAAACAAATTAACCACTTAGAACGGGAAAGGTTCGAATCCGGATCACCGGACAAAAATACACGTTAGCGGAAGGGGGACGACTTCACCCGGTTAATCCCTTCACTTCCGTCCGTCCCGTTACTTAAGAAAAAACGGAGGGAGAGGAAGATTCGGGACCCGAAGAGAAAAATCGACGGAACCAGTCGGAAACGGACGACGTTATTGCCGGTATGGAAAGGTCGAACCGATCGAAACCAGACGCCGATCCCGGCTTTACCCCACCCCCTCTCTCGTCGGGAATTACTTTAGTAAATTTTCTGTCAAAAGTCCGCCTTTTCGTTTTAAGACACGCGGCCAATAAATTCCCCCTCTTCCGTAAAGCCAAGACGAAAAAGACACGTGACGTTTCGTCCTCGCAGTAAACAACGCTATCTCTCCTACAAATACACCTAGGAGAGATGCGTTTCGTCCGATCGGATACCCGCCTTTAGCCTGGTCTTCGTTTTTACAGTGCAAATTTTTCTTTCCTTCCTCCGGACGCTATTACCGGCGCGATTTATACTTAGTTTTCCAAGCCACCGACGCCCGCCACGTTATTATTACTACTATTACTGTACGAGAATTTTTTTCGGGTGTTAATTTTCACTTGGCGTGGAACCCAGACCCGGCCCCATCGCGCTATTTTGGAGAAGAGTTATAATTAACCAATAGTTTACTCGACTTAAGTAGCGCCGTCTAAAGATACAGTTACCGTTTACTTTTTCCGTCGGCATAAAAAAAGAAAAAAAAAAGACCGTTTACAGTAGCCGTGACGGACCAGAAAGACTACGGCGTGACGACCGAAGATGTAATAATTAAAAACCCAAGTTTACCTGGAAAACTTGCTAAATATATATTTTAAAACGTATATTCTTATCTCGCGGAATTTTAGTTTGGTATTTATTCGACCGAGCCGACGGGCACGTTCCCCTTTTCTATTCTAACTGGACCACGAAACACCTGGCGTAAGCCGCCATTTTTTTTTCTTTTAAATCAGGAACGAGTAAAAAAGATAGAGGTAGTCGCGGGTCGCCCTCCGTCCCGTCCGATAAGCCTTATCGCCGGAGGGGCGTGGAGCCGCAGCCGCCGCCTTCCGAAGGGGAAGAAAAAGAGACGTTTCGCTTCCTCCGCCGGGTGACAACTTGCCAGATTCTTAACGTCGACCCGAAATTCGGTCGGTGGAGCAACGGAAGTAAACCACGTTCCACCTCGCGCCCGTCGTAACTCAACCGTTTGAACTGGACGTGGAAAATAGATAACGATCCGTTTTTCTTACCACTGTCTGAGAAATAAAATCTTGTAAATTCTGTATATATAAAATAACCGAGCTATATACGTGCCCATCGATTAAAAGTTTCGTCCGAGTTAAAAGTGTCGGGTTAAAGGGTAATTCCGCATAATTTATGGTCTCCTTCGCATCGAAAGAAAATATAAATCGAGTTACGCGACCGTCCGACGATATTCTAAAGCATCGAAAAGAGAGAAACTCTAACGGACAACCGGCACGTCGCATATACTACGATCTCCTATATAAAATTTAATCTTATACCCGGAATCCGATGACGTAGAATTTATTTATCTAGCCTTTTGTTTCCGGAAATTATTTTAAATTGTTAGATGCGTGTTTGTTTTTAACGCGGTCGAATTTGTCGACAAAAGTGAAATATGACAGAAGCGGAGTTTGGGTGGATCGCATCTTTATAAACAAATAGTATTGGTAATCCCGGAGGAGAAGATGCGAACAAACGTACCGCCGAAAACAAACGGAGAAATTACGGGGACAAATACCGATTCCGCGGAGAGAAACCGTGGAGTAAGTCCAGATTTATTTTACGACCAACGCGTTCAAATAGAAGGGGAATACTCTGTTATACCCGAAGAGAGTTATAAAATCAAACTGTATACGATACATAAAATATAAAATTCGGACAATTTGTAACGTGCGAATGTTTCCACTTCAAATTGGCCGAACCGTTTAAAAATATAAATGAAAAGAACAAATATTTGCATTTCGTACATTTAACAAACCATACGCATTTAATATTTATAGTGTTTGTTTCGCTTCTGTTTCCCAATACTTTTTGTCTCCCGAGAGATTATTGATCTGTAGGAAAAAAAAACCAGAAGGAATTCTCTCTCTTACATTTAAATCCCAGCAGTTTTTCCGAACTTCTTCTTACAATAATTACCAAACTGGTTGACGTCATTTTTATTTTTCGATAAATTTAAAAATTTGCTGTGTGCATTAGTCTACAATTTTGCCAATAATATTTCTATTCTAAAAAACGTTTGCTTTCTCCCTGTAAGGTAAAAAACCAGTACCGCAATTTCCTGTTTTGGAGGGGAAGGATGTCTGTGATTAATGACATCGTCACAATGTCGGGCTGCAATTTTTAATCATATTTTTAATTTATTTAATTTAAAATATATGCTTTCCATCTCAAATTAGTAGTGGCTTGCCCCTGTACATCACACTTTTCCTGTTAGCAGTAATCGTGTCGGTCATCTAACTCCTTCGGAGAGGGGGGATTTTTGAATTGAAATAACGTGATTTCCAGTTTGTTCCTACCGAAAATTCGTACACACACACACTGTAGATACAAAATTAAAACAGACCAAAGAATAAAATTTAAGAAATGCATCTGGGTGAAACAATGTTGTTGTCTGGCTAGTATTTTTGGGTTTGTGGATGTGATATTTCCTAGAAAATAACGGTGTTTGAACCGATTACATATTGCGATTTAATAATACAACCTTTACAATATTTTAGAATTACTAAAATTGAATATAATAAATACAATTACTAAATGATGTTACAACAGTATGAGCAGCAATTTATCATGGACAGAATAATTTCAATGTTGCAAAAACGTATGAAAACTGAATGCAGGCATGATATACTTAACAATAAAAATAACGACGTGATGCTGTAATGAACATTTTAAATAAATACTTAAACGCTATTTTTAACGTTGTGTTTGAAGTAATTTTGGAGAAACTTTATTTCTGTATTTTTTTTTTAGCACATTTATTAATAGAAACTTTGATTGTTAAAAGTGAAAAATAAACAGTTATCTGTTTATAAGATGTAAATCTATCGGCGAAATCAAATTCTTTGCATAAATTTGTATTATTTTTAATTATAGAGGATACTACTAAAATCCATTGTGTAAATGATACAAAGGTGAACGACGACAACTAATTAATTAAATAACAGACATGATTAACATCTTCTAATTCGTTCAACTTGACAAAAATTATCTACAGTAATTCATTGTAATAATTATTAACGAATTTTTAAAAAATTATAGAAATTAAAGTCTCGCCTCCCATCTTGCAGTCGGTTTTATTCCCAGCCAAAAATTTTGATTAACGGAATCAACTCTATAGAATTGGGAAATGTAATAGAAAACAAGAAAATGGGAGATGGAATAAGAAAGATGACAACGTACCATACGTACGTAAACAATAACAAAAGGGAACGGGAAATGGATATTGATTAATACAACGGCAACCGGTGATATTACATATGAGACGTAATGATCTTTCTGGACTTAATGAAGAGAGTGTCTAGTCTCTGCACGACAAGCGTAGGTAATTTCATCCAATTAAAATACAAAAAAAACTTTCGCATTCTTGTTAAAAAGCTATTATAGTTATATCTTACAACAGAAATTTTTAAATATTCATTAATATCTTATGCTAATTCCAATTCTGGTAGTAATTCCATATCATCTACCAGATGAAAATTTGTGGAGGTTATCTTTTATTTTATTGCAAAAATAACGTTACGATTTAAAGTATTATCAGTAAATCTTTTTATAGCATCTACTGATACGAATCGTAAGTGAATTTTGTGACCGATATCCATGTAAATTCATTTATATATATATATGTATTGCAGTTTTTCTGAAATTTATTTTCTTAGCTATAATAAACCCGACAGAGGAGTTGTAAGATATTCACAAAAAAATGTCATAAGACTACCATAGACTCCCATTGTCCAAATGTACCATTTAACAATCAAGAATTTAATAATGCTGTGGTTACTATTTCAGAATTAAACTATAACTCTATAGTTACATATGGTATGAAAATATCTCAACCACTAAACACGCATTCAAAGAAATGAACTATTTGTTTCACTTCCAATAAATTGATTATAATTCAGTCATACGCTATTTATTAACTTACTCTGTCCAGAAAATAACTCAATTTTTCACTCACTTCCCAGTTAAAAATTTCGATAAATCAATGTTACATACATAAAACTAAATGGTCTTAAAGAAACGATTTTTATTCACATAAATGCACCAAAAAGTAAAAAGAATTTTCTTCGGCTTTCGCGGTGTTCTCGATATTATACCACCAGAAATAAGAGCGTGGGGTGCTGGTGGGAAGTCCACAAAAATTGATAGAAATTGTAACAAAAACCATTTCTGAACACGAACGCCCAACGGTTTTATTTTTGGTCACATAATACCGAGAACAGCATGAAAGCTGAAGAAAATTTATTTTTTACATTTTGATGCATTCATGATAAAATTGTTATAGAAGGAATTTAACAACAGAAATGATATACTTGATAGTTATTATATAAATTATCATCAAACGATTTAGTAAATATATCATGTCAACTTTTTAAGTGTAGATGGAGTTCTTGTCAATTACGTGGTTATAAATTTTACAGGCTTATATTCAATGTGAGCCAACAAAACATAAAGAACTTAATGTAATGATACTATGAACCGATTAGTTGATGATAAAATCAAAACATGTTACGAGTTCATAAAATTATAGCTGTTCTGGTCAAGCTCACAGCATTATAATAGCAATATATATATCCATCAATGTAATATCGTGTCATTTTTCCACAAATTCTGGATACTGTAAAAAAAAAAATACTTTGGGTTTGGTAAAGATTTATACATAGAGCTGGGAAATTTATTAAAAAAATGTTTCTAACATA